TAGGGAAAAAGGAAATATTTGATGACGTGTTCGCACTCTGTGGGAACTCCTTAATCCCATGTCAGCATGATTCTAGTGTTTCGTGTTTTGGGATCTGAGCAATTGAAATGGCATTAAGAGAAGTTAGTTTTTGAATTACGAAATTGCCACTGAAGTGCTGTCATTGGCACGTGGAAGTAATGTTCCAGTATTCGGGCACTGGTGTTGACACGTGTCATCTGATTTGCAAGATTGGAAATGGACGACAAGGATTGGCTGAGGGTTCATCGGGCATGCTTTCTTATTTTGAACTCCTATTTTCGGTTGATTTTTTTGCTGGTTCTTTATGTCCAGTCTTCTGTTGATGACATGTTATTTTTGGGGTTTTAGCTTCAATTACACTGCGTGGAAATGAATTTCGGTCGAATGTGCAAAATATTAGTGATCTCTATTGTGGTTGTGGAAGAGAAGCTCAACTTATTTTTCGTGTTGTTTTGTTGGTTTGGATGTCTTGATCTTTTTCTTTTTTGTCTAGATGGTCTTCAAGTTTTTTTTATTATTGGGTTTTGCTTTGTCTGAGTTTCTTTATTGTGTTGTTGTTTTATTTTGTGTTGTACGTTGTTTAAATCTTGTACTCTAATTTTTTATTTGAACATAGGTGGGGTGTCTGCTTGGAGCAGAGCTGTTGATAAGTTATTGAAAAATAATCTGTTGTTCAAAAAACTGCAGTTGTTATTACAATTTTTTTTTTTGGAAAAGCCAGACCTGTCACCGCACAAAGCCATGAACAATGTGAAAATGATGATTTCAACTGTTTGAAAACACAGTTTTTTGAATAAGTTGCCAAAACACAGTTTACCCAAGCGGCCCTGGGTGTGTTTCCAAAAGCACAACACCAAATAAGCTACCCCAAACGGGGCATAAATTATGCCACATATCCTAGAAATAATGGTAGATTTTGGTGAAACTATTATGATAATAAGGAAAATGATTATACTATTTAAGCGATCCTTTTTTGATATTCACTCCTTTGAATATATGTGATAAATTGAAATAAATGTACTTTCCTTGAGTAAGTATATCTATATATATACACCACAACTGTCAGCACAAATCTCAAAGCATTCAAACAATCCAGACAACTACTAGACACCTAAGGTGTCTTCCTGTCCTGCTGCTAGCCACATGGTCAATATTCGACCGACACACCGTAACGAGAGATTCAAACGACAGACCACGACAACAGTCCTGATCGATCGGGGTGCAGGCAAGAACCCTTAATTACAACTAATCAATCAACCTACCTTTATTGCGGTGAAATAGATAGACACTCAACTGAGTGTCTCAGCCGACCAACCTATAGCACATTCGCGACTCAGGTAGTCACCTAAGTCGACCAAATTCAAAAAAATGGCCAACCAATTATCACCATGTTAAATTTCATATTGTAGCACCTATATAATATAAAATCCATACAACTAATTAGAGCATCAATTGTATTAAGAGCAATTTGCATAATTGCTCCATCCTCTTTGTAATTGTTGAAAATATGTCTATATAAATAGGAGGCAAAAATACGAATAGGACTTTTACTAATTATCTCTACAGGAAACACCTGACTCGCTATACTATCTTTCTCTTTTCCTTCCTTCACTTAATCCTAAATTCTTGGGGCTGTGTTAACAAAGGACAATTTAGGATTCAACATCCTAAAAGATGGTGTGGTGAGCATGGATATGCCACAGGCAAGAAGTGAAAGTGACTACCAAAGAGAAACTTTACAAAGAGAGATAACACACATGGAATCAAATAAATATACTACAGAACTAGACGTCCATGTGCAAGTTCAGGGCTTACAAGCCCAAATGACCCTCATGATGGAGCAATTCGAGATCGTCCGGGCAGCAATTACCCAGAGGAACGACCGTCTGTAGCCCAAATGACCCTCATGATGGAGCAATTCGAGATTGTCCGGGCAGCAATCACCCAGAGGAACGACCGTCTGCCGTCTGTCTCATCTGGAAGCAGAACCTTAAGGATCCGTCCCCAAAGGGGCCCACTAGGGAACCCCTCTATTCTATACCACCAGGTTAGTAACCAGGGGACAAAGGGGCAAGGATAGTCCCAAAACATCGACATAGCTACGTTTATGCAGGCAAACAGGGAAGAGCGTATTCTAATACCTATCCGGCTCCTTGTAGAAGGTGCGTTCACTTGCCAAATCAAAGAGGTGATACCTCCTGCCTAAGCTAAGGATCCCTCACCTAGATTCTTACAAGACCTGATCAACCTCGTAGCATAGTTTGAATCATCTGTCGGTTCAATCCAGATTGACAACCTTATAAGTATTTGCAATACACACTCCCTTACAACTTTGACCCCCAAGAGTGGTAATGAGTCGAAAGACTCATTAATCTCCTCCATCTTTTATTTCTTCATCGCCAGATTCTTTAACAATTTGGACCCTTACAACTGGATCTCTTTGTTTGGCCCTTTAGGGCTTATCATTTTTCTCTCATATGCTAGTCTTCTTTAGGCCAACCGCCCCTCTTCGTCCTTTTTCTTCTTTAGGATAGAATGAGAACTCTTTGACTTCATTCTCTTCTCACCTTCAGAAGGGAAGATCTTTGAAGTGGGAAGCCCGAATGCCTTCATTAGTGCTTCCTCACTCACAAGCATCTAAGCACCCGACATCCTTGTTCACTACTATAAACAAGTGAAGGGTAAGAAAATTCTAGAAATGAAGAAAAAAAACATTGATCTCGCCTTATTTATAGGAAAAGCGACACGAAAATCTAGAGAGGACAACTATAAAAAGCACTCATTACATTAAGTAAATAGTTTTTTCATTTAATTTTCTTATTCTTATGATAGTTGTCACTTTAAAAGAAGTAAGAGAATTAGGAATTACTTATGTAGATTTGAAATGTGGTTGCATGAATCTTGAGGATATCCAACGAATCGCACGAAGGGCAGCAAAAAACCGAACAATTCATTAACACTCCAGTCAGCTAAACTCTAGATGACCAAGCGTTAGTCTGACAGAACCAAGGAGCTCCACACACTGATAACAATAACGATTTAACAAACACAAAGGGTAAGCGCAAAAACAACAATCACCTAATAAGGACTCATTCTGCATAAATTCATTAACCGAAGGTAGGCTGCCCGTCAAATTACGACAATGTGCCTTAAAAGAATAATTATTTCAAAGGATAACGATTATGTATAACGGATTTCTCAAAAAAAAAAAAAAACAATCGTAGTTAGTTTAGCCGGCCGAATGACTTTTTGACCGACTAAATGAATACTGCATGACTAAGCTGAGCAATTACAAATATGAAATGGTGCCTATGGCAGTTACATATATGGAACAACGCCAGTAGCGGCTGCACAATCAAAATATACCAAATTCGGTTGCAAATATGTAAATATGTAATGACTCGTAAATAATTTTAACATTCTCACTAAATGAGTTATAATCATGTAATTTATCAGACCCCTTTCTATGACTTATAAATAGGAGGGTAATTCCTATAGCAAGAACTACTAGATCAATTCCCAGAGAATCAATACCATTTGTGTTTATTCTTTCTCCTCTATTCTCATATTCCTCTCATCCGACCCATGCTCTATTTCTTGGGTGCGGGTCGAAGGGTATTTTGGAATTCAACATTAATGACGTCTAAATTAAGTAATTAAGTTCATTTGATTTGTCTCATTGAGACGCTCGGTTCGACTACCTTGCAAGATTTAAGATCGTTTGCCCCTCCTAAATCTCTTCAAAAGCTTTGTTTATGCTTTAAATATATGATTTAAACTCACTCAAGCTCAGATCAAATTATTTTTTTTATATCATTTAATTTTACTCACTGAAATATTATATTTGATTTAGTATTGATATTTAGAAATTAAAATTTTGAATCTCTCATTCAATTGTACGTTAAGATTCATTTAGACGAATATAATCCATAATGAAGTAGAGAAGACATGATGACTATGCCCTCTAGGGCTGTCAAAACTGCTCGTTGTTCGCGAACAGCTCGTGTTCGGCTCGTT